CTCCCCGCCCTCCCCACAGCCCCCGACCCCCCCTGCCCTTCCCAATGCCTCTGACACTCCCTGCCCTTCCCACTGCCTCCGACACTCCCTGCCCTTCCCAATGCCCCCAACACTCCCTGCCCTTCACACAGCCCCCGACACTCCCTGCCCTTCCCAATGCCTCCGACACTCCCTGCCCTTCCCACTGCCCCCGACACTCCCTGCCCTTCCCACTGGCCCTAGCATTCCCTTCCTCTACTAAGAAGAAAAAATAAAAAGCCCTTCTCTCTCTCTCTCTCTCGCCAAGGCGATGTACGGGGAAAGTGCACAGAACATCGACAATGGTGACATTTGTTTACCCAAAACTGATCCCTCCCCCAATACCCAACCCTTACATTCTATATATATAATAAGAGGAAGGTTCCTGGCCCCCAGAACAATGCGGGGCCCCCGGGGCCACTAAATCCTCAATTCTAACCAAAGATAATGAAGCCGCTGAAACTCATCTCAGTGAAAGACATTAATCATCACCAACGCCGGAATATTCCAGATATCTGATGTAAATGGGAATGTGGGAGGAGGATCGGGGGAGGATGGGAATGGGGGAGGAGGATCCGGGGAGGATGGGAATGTGGGAGGAGGATCCGGGGAGGATGGAAATGTGGGAGGAGGATCCGGGGAGGATGGAAATGCGGGAGAAGGATCCGGGGAGGACGGGAATGTGGGATAACCCGCTGCACCGGCCTCCACACTGACTCCCGGGTGGAGTTCTCCCAGGTGGGGCCCTCAATACGCCCCAGCCCCCTCTCCATGAGGGCTGTACACAGGTGCACCATCATTGGGTGCCGGCCACTACTAAAGCCCGGACCCGGGAACGGAGATTTTTCATCCCACACAGAGCTGTAAGAAATCTCCTGGCTCCGGGATCCCAACTACGATCCGGAAAACCCGGAGAGGACTGAAAAGCCGGCTCTTTCCTGGTAAAAGCAATTGCTTTCCCGGCAGGGGCGTCCTGAGGCTGGGTGACACCCGGAGCGTTTACCGAGTGTCACCCCCCGCCGAGACGTCATCACGCACGCGCGGCGATCTTCTGATACCTGCCGGCGGCCATCTTGGTGACGGACGCCGGCAGAGAGAGGAGGGGACGTTCACCCGGCGGGATGAGGTATGCCGCCGAGTCCCCTCCTCTCTCCTGATACTGTTCGGCCCGACTTTTCAGAGGGGGGTGTCAGTCAGTCATTTTGGTGTCACCCCTCCAACGGTGTCACCCGGGTGCGGGCCGCACCCCCCTTGTGACGCCACTGCGCACAGTAGATATAATATATACACACACTGTATATATACGGGATCAGGAGACATAAGGGCGCCGCCAGGCGGCCGTCATCACCGTCCTTTTTCTACAATGGCCGCCCTATTACTGCCAATCGCGCGTTTCCTCGAAGTGGCCGCGAATGTTTCCTCGCCGGCCACATAAAACGGCTCTTTTTTTTTTCGTGTTTTGTCTTTTTCCAGTCCGTCTGCCGCGGCGTTTCCTGGCGGAATATTTCGCAGCTCGTCGTGTTCTGCTGCAGGAAGTGTTATGGGGAGGGGGGGGGGGGGGGGGGGTTAAGTTGGAAATGATCCACTTTTTAATTATTTGTCGAATATCTGGCGGTTGATCGTCTCGGTTGGAAATGTTCAGTTGCTGATCGGCGTTACGCAATATATGAGCGTCAGCTCCGCCGCTCTCCGCGCCTAAACCGCTAGGACTGAAAGGAAAGCCTTAAAGGGCCAGCGCATGTATATGAGAAAACAACACTCGTGAAGCGACACGGTTACAAGTCTGTCTCCTCATCTCACAGGGAAAGGGGCCTGCGGTACTTTTCGGCAATGTAGCGCAGCGCAGCACATGGAGGTGCGTTGGGGTGTCACGCATCTCATTGGAGTAGGTCGTTGGGGGAGCCCTCCGCACACCTCACAGCAGTCCCGCTTCTGTCCATTAAAGGGACATATTTTGCTTTCATCATTGAGTGCTGGTGATTCCCTGCTTGTTCTTTGCATCTCCTTGGAGGACATTGTTATAATGTATATTATATTACAGATGCTAATATCACGCGAATGTCTGAATCCGGCCTCAGAGCAGGAAAACAAACCGACTTCTCCTGAGCCCAGGTCATTCTGGACCCGCCCTCCAACTGTGATTGGACAGTGAAAGGAGAAGCAGCACGGTGATGAACTCGTCTCTCTGTCACTCTGCTCCCTCCTCCTATCAGAATGCTTCTTGTCAGGACTCGAGGCGATTGGCTCCTTGGGCCGTAGCCGTGTCTTCTGTCTCTCTGGCAGTCAGATATCACGTCTCAGCCAATCAGAGGCCTGCGCAGCGCTCTGCTCATTGCTGTGATGGGAATCTCTCATCTGTGTTATCAGACGGAAGTTCTCAATTATTTTAATTCGGCTGGAAAATCAGAAATCCGAATTCCTTCCGTCCTCCCGGACACGCGGGTGACACTAATCCCCGATAATGGACCTTCCACTGGAAGAGCCCCCCCAATCCGTCCAGTGCCCCCGTGCTGCTGCCGGCCCTTTAATGACCTCGAAGAGAACACTTCACAGATCTGATACTGAAGTTCTTCTTCCCCCCCTCTCTCTCTCTTCTCTCTCTCTTCTCTCCCCCCCCCTCTCTTCTCTCTCTCTC